CCTGTCATCTCTGTTTCTACTTCCTGTTCCTGTGTTTCTACTTCCTGTCATCTCTGTTTCTACTTCCTGTTCTCTGTTTCTACTTCCTGTTCCTCTCAAACCAGCCGGTCGCTCGTCCTGAGCTGGTTCTGTTGGAGGTTACTTCCTGTTACAGGGAGTTTTTCCTGCTTCTTCCTCAGAGACAGAACTTTTATTTTATTTTTTTATGAATGTGGACGTTTCTGTTCCTCGTCCTGGTTCGACTCCTGCTGAATAACGACCAGTTTATGAAGCACATCTGTTTGTTTCTGGTCCATAAACAGTTTGAAGGTCACGAAGAATCCTTCAGCTCCGACAGCTGATCAGAACCGAGGTGCTGCCCCGGTCCAGTCCGAGTCCAGAACCTGACCGAAACACTGCGGCGGGACCTTCAGAGCTGAGCAGAAACTTCTTTGATGTAAAGAAGAGTGGGCCAAAGGCAGGACTGCTGCCGGTCCTGGATCAGGAACCGGAACCAGTTTTTATTCACCTGCTGAAGGTGGACGTATCGTGGTTCAGTCTTCTGATCGCTCAAGATAATTTAACAACCCCAGCGTCAAGGTCAAGGTCACAAATCAAGGTCAAAGGTCATTAATACAAAAACAACTTGGTGGATTCTGGTGTTTGTTTACTTGTGTTTAGATCTGAACCATTTCAGAACCTGATACAGACCGGATCAGAACCTCGTGTGCAGGAGGACTTTGTGTGGTTCCTTCAGCGTTTTGTTGACGTCAGCGGTTTTTAAGGTCCGGTTCTTTGTCTTTGCAGAGAGGGACTACAGCAGCCTGTGTGAACGGCAGCCCATCGGCCGCTTGCTCTTCAGGCAGTTCTGCGAGACCCGACCCGAGCTGAAGCGCTGCGTCAGGTTCCTGGACGCCGTGGTAAGAGCTGCTGTTCTTGTGTGACGGAGTAAAATCAGGTTTCAGGATCTCGGCTTCCCCGTCAGAACAAAGCACGGGTTAGTGTGACACGAGTGCGTGGTTCCCCCCGGCGTTGTGTTGCTGGGGGGGGAGTCGGCTTTTGGAAAATAGGACTAAATGAAAGAGGAGAAGGATCACATGAGACTGAGCCCCCCCCCCCCCATTATTGAGCCTTGCATGCTAGTGTGTTTGTCGTTTGTGTTGTGGCAGGCGGAGTACGAGGTGACTCCGGACGAGAAGAGGAAGGACTGCGGTCATGAGCTCATCAGTAAATACCTCAACCAAACGGTAGAGCTGCCGCTTTCATCAACTTATCGTAAATTATCAATTTGTGTAAAAGATTTACTGCGTTTGTTTGTTTATTTTGCATTCCCTGGAATTATCTTTTGCTTTGCATTTATTTTACATGAACCATGAAGTAAAGCTGCTGTGAAGAAACAACAACAACTCGGTGCCCAAGTTCAAGAAACTCGTTATAAAATATCTTCACGTCTTTGTAACAAACTGCAAAAATTAACTGTAAAACGTTCAGTTTCGTTAAATTCACGTTTCATGCAGGACTTTTACCGTTTTTAAAGACTTTGATGAAGAAATTTAGACATTTTGACAAATCTAAGAAAGTGTGGCTGAGGAAGAGACGCAAAAGAAAACCAAAGTTAATAAAAATGTAAATATTAAAAATAAACGTCAGTAACAGTCGTAGATTCTTTTCAACACAATTAAAAGCAGAATAAAGTAGTTTATCAACACATAAACAACTTAAACACAAAACAAACATAACGTATGAAATTCATTTAATTTTAATTTAAACAAAATTTTATTTTTAGAGCATTTAAAGAAGTTGGTTAAATAATGTTTTCAAATTGTTAAAAAAAAAAACAGAAAATTTGTATTTGTCGTTTTTTTGCTTCACTAATAATTCTTTATGTCCAGATTTATTAATAATCTTTGTTATAATAAAATAATAACATTCCTATTTTTTATTTAATTGCCAATTTTACACATTTTCAAATAAATATATATTACAAATTAATATATGAATAATTTATGATTTTATATATTTTTAAATCACTTTGGCTGTTTGTGGAGATTAGGAATAATCCAAGTGAAATAAATAAACAGTATTAATTGTACATTAAATTAATTTACATTTAAAGAACACAAAAAATGTATAAACGTAAAAAAAATAAGAAATAAATGACGTAAAAGTGCTTTTTATAAATAATTAAATAAGAGTTCAACCACAACTTTAGTGAAAATGATATATTTTAATTGTTTAAATGTCTAAATGTTCAACAAATGTAAAACTTAAATATAACTTTTTACAAATCATATTTACAGAACCTGATTTCAACTCTGGGTGAAGGAAAACAAATAAACAAATAAAATTACTAAAACGCTGAAATAAAATAAACCGACGAACGACTTCCTGTGGTGGACTCATCAGAACCTGTTCCTTTAAACCGGACGCCCCGTCCAGCACAACAGAACCCGGGTTCTTTTTAAACCGGACATCGGGTCGACCCCGCGTCCAGCCCGGTTCTTACAACAGATACTTGAGATATTTTGCTAACAGACAAGTTTGACTCCAGTAGTTAGTCCTCAAGTCTTAAACATTTTTAGCTAAATGTTAGCTTTCAGCTTGTCTGTTGGGGATGACTCTCAACTACTACCACACCAAACCGCAGCCTTTTTGATGCTTAGTAAAGGAGCTCAGCTGAGGCGGCCATCTTGAATTTGGTCAGTTTGTAGATTTTCGTCTAATGTTTTGATCCTGACAGTTTTATTAAAATGTATCCAGTGGTTCTTGAGATATTTTGCTAACAGACAGACAGGGTTCACTCTCCTTAGAGTTTGTGTTTGGTATGACTCTCAGCTACTACCACACTCAGTTTTAGCTCCGTATCTTTGGAGCAGACAGAGTCACAGACATTAGTGTCCCAGTTTGAGTCAAACCGCCTCCAGGACTTTCAATGAAGTCCGTCTAGTCGTTTATGAGATATTTTGCTAACAGACAGCCTGAACTGGTCCGGGGGACAGTTTTCTGCTCCTGCACCTGTTTGGACCGGAGCACAGCTGACGGTTCGGCTCCGCCTGTTCGCCTCACGTCTCCCTTCGTCGTTTCCTCTGCAGTCGGAGAACTACGTGTCGGAGGTGGAGGAGGCCATGACGGTTCAGTGTGCAGAGAGGCTGCAGCACGAAGCCAGCAAGGAGCTCTTCAAGGACTGCACCAGGTAGGGTCCGGGGGGGTCTGAGGTCAGAAGGTCACATCCAGTGAACCCACCGGTACGCCCATGTCCTCAGACGCAGGCGGGTTTGAAGTGTGAATGTTTGTAGTTTTTAAGACAAGTGTTTTTGAACAATCACTGCGAGTAAACCTAAATGTTTTTGATGAGACTTGTTCAAGAGGACAGGAGTTACACGTGGAGAAGAACAGAGGGAGGCGTTTTTGTTTGCTCGTCTTAGGCAGAGCAGAGTGCTGGATCCTGAACACCAGGCACAACGGTGGAGCCAGGGGGTAGCCGGTGGGGGCCTTGGCCCTCATGGATTAATCTCCGGCCACCGCAGTCATTTGAGGGAACATCAGCAGGAAAGCCCCCGAGGATGAACTGATGACTGAACATCTCGGGCAGCAGCAGAAACCAAATGTGGAAGAGGCGGAACAAGAGGAGCATCATGGAAAGATGAGCTCCTGCACGGCATGTGCCACCGGCAGATTAAGGAAATGGTTGATTTCAACGAATCAGTGGCCAGAGAGGGTTGGAGGGAAGGAGACACTAATCATGGCAGCACAAGACCAGAACCTCAGCACAAGACCAGAGCCTCAGCACAAG